CAAGAGTTGGACGCTTAACCAATGGAGGCACCCAGGTGCCCCTAGAAAACTTCTAGGAAGCAGTTAAATGTGTAAATGAGTTGTCAGGATAACTTACACTTATATAGGCTCTGACAGGGTTGGTTTTTTTTTTTTGTAAATAAACTGAGGCTCAGTGAAGTTAATTAACATGCTCAAGACTACCTTAAGAAAATGCTTATGCCAAGACTCCATGGTAACATGGTGCTTTGGGGCTTCGTATTTTGCAACTTGCCCATAACCCAGTACCTTTTAGTCCTGAGACCCACGGACATGGGTTACTTTTCTTGGCTGGGTGGTATTGGCCAGCCCATTGTCTTTATCCATACCTATCACAGATTGATCTCTTCAGTCTGGGTGATTTTATTTACAATCCACCTATTTGCTGTGGGGCAGGAGTGAAGGAGGCAGTATCATGCTAAATGTGATGTTAGGTTTTTCATGCCGTGAAATCACCTCTGTTTAAAGCCCTGAGAGAGGGGCGCCTGGGTGGCGCAGTCGGTTAAGCGTCCGACTTCAACCAGGTCACGATCTCGCGGTCCGTGAGTTCGAGCCCCGCGTCGGGCTCTGGGCTGATGGCTCAGAGCCTGGAGCCTGTTTCTGATTCTGTGTCTCCCTCTCTCTCTGCCCCTCGCCCGTTCATGCTCTGTCTCTCTCTGTCCCAAAAATAAATAAACGTTGAAAAAAAAAAAAAAATTTTAAAGCCCTGAGAGAGGATGGATTACAAAACTGGCACACCTATACTGGGTGACATCATCAGGTGATTATGCCCTGCCCCACTTGGAGATAGTACTTTGAAAAGAGAGGCCCTTAAAGAGCATTGATCCAATGATCCAGCCTTCAATCCTTTGAGGACAGTTAGGATCATTTTTCTTAATGAACCAATTTTTTTTTTTTAATTTTTTAAAAGTGTTTATTTATTTTTTGAGAGAGAGAGAGAAAGAGAGAGCACGAGTGGGAGAGGAGCAGAGAGAGAAGGAGACACAGAAACTGAAGCAGACTCCAGGCTCTGAGCTGTCAGCACAGAGCCTGACACGGGGCTCAAACTCACGAACCATGAGACCATGACCTGAGCCAAAGTTGGACACTTAACTGACTGAGCCACCTAGGCACCCCAATGAACCAATTATTTTGAAAGATTATGACTATATAACATTCTGCATTTTGTTTTACATGTTTGTTTGTTTGTTTGTTTATTTGAGAGAGACAGAGCAGGCAAGTGGGGGGAGGGGCAGAGAGAGAGAACCCCAAGCAGGCTCCATGCTGTCAGTGCAGAGCCTGACTCGGGTTTGATCCCACAAACCATGAGACCGTGACCTGAGCCAAAATCAAGAGTCAGAGGCTTAACCAACTGAGCCACCCAAGCACCCCAACATAGATTCT